CCGCCAGGCAGCACAGGAAAACCTGGCTGCTGCCGCGCGTCCTCCCGCCCCAGCAGCAGCAGCATCCGCAGGCAGCTGGCGGCTGACAGGCAGGGGGGCCGGCGGGCGGTCCCATGGCTCCCATTGCTTTCCTGGCCAGGACTGCCGGCTCCTTCTGTCCATCCGTCCTCTCGTGTGCAGGGCCTGGCAGGGCAGTGGTCACACACATACACACGCGTGCGCACGCGTACGTGTGCCAACCTGGGGACCTCTCTGCAGCAGGAGGTGGTGGCAGTAGGGGTGTATATGGCACGGTGCACACACAGACCTGCTGCATGCACCAGCACACACGCATGCACATGCTGGCACACGTGTGCAACTGCGTACACACGTGCGCACACACCCATACTCACATATACCCATGCACACAGAGGCATGGATACACACATCCATGCACACATGCCCACACATGCATGGATGAACGTGCACATACATGTGTACAGCTGCACACCCACGCCAATGCACACATGCAGATCCATGCACACACCTTCATGCACACGCATGCATACGTATGCACTGCCCCCCCGCCCCACACTGAGCTGTCTCCAAAGCCTGATGCTCCCTGCCCATGTCCCCAAGTGCCGTGTCCTCCACCGCAGCAGCACGGGTCACCAGCACCCCACGTGTGGCCATGCTCCCCAGAAACACCCCAGGTCAGCTCGGCTGGGCCCCGGGCCCAGGCTCTCCCCCCCAGCCCATCCCCGTCAGCTGGTGGCCATGTGTGGGGCGGCCACAGCTGAGTACACAGCCCCTGCCATCCGTCTTGCTGCTTGTCAGGGCTGGGGGCTGCTGCGGCCCCCCAGCCGCAGCCCAGCGGGACACCGGGGCGAGAGCAAGGCGAGAGCAGGGGCTCCCCTCTCCACGCAGGCACCTGCCTGCTCCCTGCCTGCTGCAGCAAGGGCTTGCCCATCCCCAGCTCTGCCCCGGGGCACCTCTGCAGCGGTAGAAACAGTCCCTGGTCTGTGCCCGGGCAGGGGCTACTGCCACGGCCAGGAGAGGGTCGGGGTCCCTCACAGGGACCAACGCACAGCAAGAGGTGGCGAGGGACGGAGCCGGCAAGGGACACGTCCCCATGGCAGTGTGGACACCCGGTGCAGCCCTGCATGCTCCCAGCCCCAGCGGCACCTCCGGCCCCCAGTGTGGCCCTCTCCCCCCCACCGTGTGATTTACGGGCTCTGCGCAGGCAGACAAATGGCAAAGGAAAACAGGGCAGGGGGGTCCCGCCGGCGAGGGGCTGCCTGTGCCCCGCGGGGGGGGAGAGGGGCCGTTTGCTCACTGCCTGCCAGGTCGGGTGGGCAGCGAACCAGTGCCAGTGCCAGTGCCAGGGAGCACGGCTGCCCCTGCCACGGTCCCGGCAGTGACAAGCCTTGGCACACATGGGGAGAGCCCCAGGGGGACCCAGTGGCCTGGGAGCCACCTCACCAACATGCCCGTCCCACAGCTGCTGTCCCATCCCAG